GAGAGGGCGTGATACTACCCGGTTGCCCAAGCCGAAGTAGGGAGTTGACTTAGGGGACTCCACCCCGAGCCTTTGGCTAAATAACCTACCCGCAAGGCAGCGGGGCGAATTTAGGGAATCGCGCCCATTGGGAGGCGTTGACTGAATATTCAGTTCATGCGTCTTTGTTTGGTAGATTACCAAACAGGGGCCCAATACTCCCCATATAGTCAGCACACCTGCTGGAATACAATGTCCCACCGAGGTGGAACATTGTCGCCGAACACTTTGCTGGAACGGGGTACACCCGAACCACCCAGCTGGCACCACGAGGAGGTAGTTCGGCCAGCCAGCTCAAGCCGCATAGACAAGCCACCAATCCGAAAAAGCACCAGACGATCGTTTCGTCCTATTGAGATTTGTCAGTGGTGCGCATTCGCTCCGTCCCCCGCTGAGGATTGAACACGGCCGCTAGTGGCGGCGTCACTGTATCATTACCCGGCCAAGTTGTCCTCTTGGGCAACAGAACTAATCTGAGGGGGCATTCAACATGAGTCTACTCAATTAATTTCCTCTGTGCGTACGCCAGTCACTTGTGCAGGTGTGTAGGTGTGCGTGTATAGCCCGTCGCCTTCAGCAAATTGGACCTCAGACGCATTAAGTCATAGGGGTGCAGGTGGGACGCTTCATCTCCTACGCATGGAACAAATTAATTGAGTAGACTCATGTTGAAAGCCCCCTCAGATTATTTCTGTTGCCCAAAAGGACCACTTGGTCGGGAAATGGTGTAGTCAGTAGCTTATACCAAAGAGCCATGGGGACGATAGCCGACTATCACAGTTTGAAACCTAACTACGATATAGTTTCACCATTTTGTGCTTTTCATTCTGGCCATCCTACGAGATTTGCTGGTAATTGCTTTTTAGATCCTTCTACACTATTGTTCCATCTCTTCAATTGGGCGAAAATTCAAGCCACTCTGGATTTCTCGATACCTCATAACTCCCATGATCTGCAACTATTTCTAGGGATGATGCCTGATTACAGCGGTTTTACCCAAAATAGCTACTACTCTGGCGCCCTTGTATGCACTCTTACGTAGTAATATCTAATGGTTGTGGTTAGCAGAATAACAAAAAGTTTATGTTGCTGTAGGGATGGCTAAAACTGAGGCTAATTTGTTCGTAAAGTTTGACGCAGGAAGGTCGATTACTCTGATGTGACATGTCGCCCACGGGGCTCGGAGCCGCGCAACGTCACAAATTAAGGACTTGACCATACGCCCCGTAGGCTTTGCTTCTAGGAGCTTGGCGCTAGCGGAGAGGATATAACAGAGCTAGAAAATACTTTGCCATTACCTATGGGGAGGAGCGTTCAGCACTTTTATGGACCACAAACATTTGCTAACATTGATCGGTGAGATGAAGGGCCTCAACCAGATGGCATCTCCTCTCATGCAACCTTGGGCTTTACTGCTTTCGGTAAAGAATTATAAAATCTCATATGCCCCTGGGAAAGCGAATGAACAATCAATTTATACGGATTAAGAAGCAATGCTTTACATGTCCCATTGGGTGGTTCTGAAGGGTTATCGAAAATATAGAAGCAATGGGTTATTTACGTTTAAAAGAGGGACTTATCTTTTGTTTCGCTGTAGTCCTGCGATCCGTGTAGTTTCACAGTAAAAAGATGTAACAGCAAATAAATCCAAAGTGTATTCTGGGAGTGGGTTGGAGATATAGTACTAGGTAACAAAATGTAGGTGAGTAAGTGAGTCATCCAAACACCTTTCTACTATGGATAGGGATGGTGCAGAAATGATCGATTCTGGAAAAGCATTCTACTGGTGACGCACGCAGACGGAAATGCAGTCCCTGCATCAATCCAGGCTGCTGTACTCTTCTGCCAGTTTCAGTGAGTGACCTCTCAATTTGGTATAACGGCTGAGTTGTAGTAAAGAGCGGCATACATGTTGTGGATCGTGTAGAATTAAGTACACATCAAGCCACCTCATAAGCGGCAATAACGTCCGCTGTATACTCTTAGTCGTCCCAGCCTCTCCTCGTGTGGAAGATGGTGTATTCCAATAAGGTACTTTGACGCTCGACGTTGGGGCTGCTCTAATGCACTAAAGTCGTGTTTTAGCCATGGGTGCCAGGCTTGAATTCCATATTCGACATGAGGACGAACATACGCACAAAGCATCTGCCGGAAAATAGAGCGATCTGTTTGTCCGAACGCCGGTCTTAACAGGCCCGCATGTTGGTTACCAGTTTTGGAGGCTTTCACGGATTGCCTGGATCAACCCAGATCATCCTGAACCAGTACGCCCAAATCACGTTCGGTGGCAGCTAGCTGTAACACATGCGTTCGGAGACTGTAACAATGGTTGCTCTGGTGTCGTATGGAGAGCACGTTGCATGTACTCACATCGAATTGCAATGAAGTTTGGATAGACCATTGACGTACCCTGTCTTGATCACTCTGAAGCAGTTGCAGGTCAGTATTTCCCTGAGGCGGTGCGCCAAATCTTGACGTCATCGGCAAACAGCAGTAAGTTACATGTAATTGCCTGTGTGAGGTCATTGATAAATAACAAAAGCAACCGGGGACCTAGCACCGAGCCTTGAGGCACACCACATTCAACTTGTATGGGGTCACAGAAGGAGCTCCGAAGTCTGACCACCAATTGCCACTGTAGGAGAGAATTGGCGCTCCAGCTCAGAAGAGCTTCACTGATCCCGTAAAGCTGTAGCTTGGAAATGAGTATCTGATGCTCTAGATGGTCGAATGCTTTAGATAAATTCAGGTAGATCCCATCAACATCCTCTCCAGCGTCAGCTGACTGGGTCCAGATACTCCGTGCTACTAGCAAATTCGTTGTGCACAATCGATTTCGATGGGAACTGTGCTGCTAAGAAATAACTATGTTAGCGTTGTCCAAATAGCCCACTAGCGCATCGGCTATGATGGATTCCATCACCTTGGATGGTAAAGGAAAAAGAGAAACTGGGCGGTAGTTTGAAGCCCCGGTTCTGATTCCACCTTTGTGAATGAGTGTCATTATTCCAAGCTTCCATATAGCAGGAACTTGGTTCTGGAGTCGCAGTGGTCCTGAGTCGCTTGATAACTATGATCCGCAGCTGCTCCCGTACTTTATTCGACGCTCAGAGCTTAGTCTCGAAAATCGCTGTCCGCTTTTTGGATCCAGAGCCACAGGCCCTACACGTGTTATACAAAACTCTCCCGGGAATAACGATAATGATTGGACTCGCGCGATCCTATTTGTGGTAGCAGTATATGGACAGAGATATCAGGGAGTTAATTCGATACTGCGACGCTTGTCAAAGTGCGCAAATAAGTGCACCCATTAAAAAGTCCACCGGTAGGCTCATACAGGATATGATTCTATCGTGCACCGACAAAATACGGTTTGTGTTTGAGTGGACCGCATACAAACAGGTCGACGGGGTCGCTATGAGCAGCCCTCTGAAATTAGTTGTAACCGACATCTTCCTCGGGTTGATAGAAAGGCAAGTACCATTGTACAGACGGTATGTGGATGACACTTGAATCTTCACAAGGGGATAACATTTTACGCTGCTGCTGACCATCCTGAATTCGATTCACACTAATCCCATGAAGTTGAACAACACAGTTGCCTGCCGGTTTTGGATATACTCAGTAGGGGACAGGCTGTAAGCATATTGCAGCGCACTGTCCACCGCAAAGCGACTTGAAGTGCACAGTAGCTTCATTTTCTAATTTCGCCACGGTCACATACAAACACGACTCAGTGAAAACTCTCTTCTACTTAGGTAGATGTATCTGTAACCCCGAAACGTTAAAAGCTTAAGAACCAATTCTACGCAAGACCTTACTTTCTAATGGATGTCCTGAGAAGTTTATTCAGGTACACAGCAGACCTCCTATCAGAAAAACACCGCTGCTGACGGCTGAGAGTAAGGATGCTTATTTGTTCTCGCAGTTCAAGAGGGACCATGTGGCAAATGATATCTGACGCAAGCTCCGGTCCTCCCTGACGCACACCTACACGGCCGCTCAGTTGTGACTCATGCGTACCACGCGAAGACTTGTTCTTCATAACCGTCGGAGCATACCGTCGTTTACTTCGGCCTCTCACCTTGTTTATCAGTTCACCTGCAGTTGCGGTGACATTCACAGATAGAACTAAGCGTCAGCTCAGAGGTTAGCTGAACGTTTGTCAAAGTGGTTGTGACAAGTGCTGACGCAACGAAACGGGGCACATCTGAAGATTAATCTGAACCCGGCAACGTCTATCACCAAGCAACTCAGGTGAACCCTGAGACCGCGTTCAAAGTGTTATTACGCAACAAAACCCGATACTGTTGGCAGTTAATGAGGCGTTGCTAACTAAGGCCCATCAACCTGTGCTGTGTGCACGGAAACGCTAGAGGCAACCAATTCGCTTGCCTTGGTCTTGACTGTAACATTTTGATTCGTGTTACTTATTTTCCATGTATGTAATCGTCTTTGTGTTTCTACTCGTATTGTATTTGCAACTGAAGAAAACAATCGAAATGTTAACAAATCGCAGCCTCTTTCTTCTCTCCGAGCTGACGAAATGGTTGAATTGGACCAACCGTTTCGATTTTCTGAAAATAAATTGTGCATATTTACAAGGAACTCTTCCTCGTGCATTGTCAATCACATGAGTGCCACAAATTGACCTATTCAAACAGTTACTATACGTTATGATAAGCACTTCACGTCGTGACTCGGTAGTTAAATAGTAGCAAATTGCTTAGAGATGAAGACAGAGCAAATGACGACACAGGGAAGTCAGACCAAGCCAAACTTATGACTACAAATACTAAGTATGGTCAGAGATCACTACATCTGTATTTGCAAACTGTGTCGTCGCGAGTTAACCGGCGTCTATATTACGAAAGAAACTTTTGCACTGTAACCATCTTGATTCCCTCAAGTGCTTTATTCGGTTGGCGCTACTGTCTGGCTATTCCCGCTTTCGTCCACAGCTTTTTGAACTGCAACGGGTTCAGCACGGATTGATCGTCCTTGGACCCTCTGGAAGTGGAAAGAGCAAGGGCATTTCGATTTTACTACGATCGCTTACCGAGCAAGGCCAACCACATCGAGAACAGCGTATGAATCCGAAAGCCGTCACAGTGAGCGATATGTTCGGTAGTTATGACGTTCTATCAAACGACTGGACTGACGGTATATTCACCTTCATTTGGCGTCGCACTCTGCGTTTGAAGCCAAGCGACTACTGTTGGTTAGTGTTTGATGGTCCAGTGGATGCAAGTTGGGCAGAGAATCTCAATTCCGTCCTGGACAATAACAAAATCCTCTCTCTCGCTAACGGCGATCGCATTCCGATGGCTCCTAATTGCAAGATTGTTTTCGAAGTAGACAATTTAGACAACGCGTCGCCGGCGACCATCTCACGCAATGGGGTTGTCTACTTTGGTAATGCTACGCTAACCTGGTCCGCAGTTTTTCTGGTAAGCCACCAGTGCCACTTAGGGTACATATTTAGTCCATTGATGTTTTTACACCATAGCATGTTGTGTTCCGTTTCAAAGGAAAGCCTAATGATGCGATATCAACGTTTGTTTGAGATTTTCTGCATAACCTTTATACGCATCCCACGCGAGCTACTTAGTTGGATTGTGTCAATGACGACCACCATAGTACTTCACAATTCTGCGCGACCCCATAAAAAAAAGAATTTGATTAAGAGCAAAACTGTGAAGGCATGCTTGAACCAGATAGCCAAAAACACAACTGGAAGAGGTTCGTTAGATGCATGTATCACATATCTCATCGCCAGTGGCATTACTAACAGCACGCGACTATGTACAATTGTTTTATGGTGCAAAAGAGCGTAAAACTTAGGTTTGTCGGCAGATGTTTTTGAATGCAAACTATCGGTTTACTATGACTTGTCACGGCAACCTCAGCGAAACAGGGGAGACGGGTGTCGGCATGGTGTAACGTAATTTTGGAGGCCGATTTGACCTAGATCCGGTTATCTGCGGTCACTGATCGAAGAGGTCGGTGACCCAAGTAAACACGTAGGTTGAAGTGGACAAGATTGTTGTGCAGTCTCACGTTGAGAGCTCGTATACGCATGCACTACCCTCGATCATTTCGCCTGACCCTTGGTGTAACCAAGTTGGTCGGTGTCAGCACATCACCGGTTAAAATGGGCAGATACATCAGCAGATCCGGCAACTTCCGACCACAGCGCTTACTTATATGTGCTGTCCAATTCAAGTTCATAAGTAGCTCCTGCATAAAAATTATTGCACACAGATGGGCGACTTGGTAAGCCACTGGCGAAACATGTTTGCCCTGAACGGAGGAGGGGTTAGCTAGTAGCCTGTAACGGGAGCCCGGAGAGAGATTCGAAAAGGCAGATCGGGTTGCATGGAAAGTTTTATTGGTGCACTACAGGATTCCCTGTTACCTAGCGACACCGTTGACGCTCTAGCTAGGGGAACTGAAGACGCACAGCACACAGGGCAATCGCGCGTTGCAACCGAAGCGAGCGCCAAGCAAAAACGGCGATGTGCAAGTCAAGCATTCGAACTCAGCAAGCAGTTCAACAAGCCACACCGGTCGCCTAGGTGTACAATGAAATCATCTTAGTTAGAATTTTACACAGGCAAACTGGGGAATCTCCAGACTGCCACAACGGCATAAAGCACCTATGCATCTCGGTGACTGCACTCCGCCCACCTGAGAATGGCCAAGATCGCACTTAAAATCATCTGAGCAACTAGTCCATCGCTCGGTAGCTGGTTGCGATTCTTGCACCTGTTCGAAGCAGATTGCTGTGCACAGTCTGAGATAGCTTTGAATTGGTCGATACCATACAGAATGTAAACCGCACCAATTTAACCATGTGTTCGTTAAATGTTACTTCACTATTCACCAATATGCCACTGCTTGAGACCATAAAATACATTTGCAAGTATGTTGATGCACATCACATGAATGTGGGCATGCCCACTGTGATCCTAAAGGAATTATTACTCAGATGCACACTTAATGTTTAGTTGCTCTTCAGTAGCGAAATATACCGGCAGTGCGATGGGGTCGCGATGGGGTCGCGATGGGTTCCCTACTTGGACCCTTCTTCTCCGATGTTTTCATGGGCATGCTGGAACAGGGTCAGTTAAAATCAACAATCGCAGACCTCAGTATATATTATCGGTATGTGGATGACATCTTTGATTTATCTCAAGCCTCGCGAAGAATTGATGAGCTAACAAACACCTTCAACCAGTGCCACCCAGCAATAAAGTCTACCTAAGAAGTGCAGGAAAACAACCTCTTTCCTTTCTTAAAGGTCGCTCTGAGAAGACTTGATGGAGGTGCGCTGCAACGTCGCGTGCATAGGAAATGCACGTGGACTGGACAGAGCACACATTTCTGCAGCTTTGTGCCTTTAAGGTATAAAAGGAACCTGATCCATACCCTAGTGAGCCGAGCTGAAAAAATTTGCTCGGAAGATATGTTTCCAGAGGAGCTGAAGTGCATTCAATCGGTGCAGAGGGAGAATGGCTACCCAGAAAGTTTCATTAGACCCAACAGGCAACAGAAACGCACATAGGCCGTAGTATTGGGAGTAGAACGTAAGCCGATCTTCCCACAGCTGCCATACAAAGGCGAAGTTACGACGGAACTTTTATTTCGTCGTCTTTCGCGTGCACTCTGACGTACCTACCCTGCAGCAAGAATAAGAATCCAGTTCACTAGCCGTCCGATGGTGAAACTGAACTCAAAGGATAAGAGGCCTGTCCACACCAATTCAATGTGTATTTATTCTTTTTACTGCTCCTGTGGAGCAAACTGCATTGGTCGTACGACACGGGGTCTATCCGAGCGATTGAAGGAACATCACCCGCCCTGGCTTGGAACTGGAAGCAGAAAACCAGTCAGCTCCTCAATAGCTGCGCACCTCGCTAACATAGGGCATGCAACTAAATCAGCTGATTTTTTCAAAATCATCTATCAGGCCCCGGCTAACCGATCGAATTACGTGTGTAAGAGAATACTAGTAGCTGCTGAGGCAATTGCGATCCGATCCAGAAGAAGCTAAATAGTGGGTTGGGACTACCCTGGCCCAAACGCCTGACGACTTCTGGCCCGCGAGGTCAATTGTCCCAACCTAACGGACAGCCACTGTCAGTAGTTGCTCCTGGACTAATGACTGGTTCTTATCTACCCATTTCGTTTTTATTTGTATATAACTCTACAAGCCTGACGAGGAATTATCGAAAATATATGTTCGCTTACACTGACTCCTACTCCATCGCCATGGTTGGCAGTGTGGAGACCCAAAGCGAAAGTCCAGTTCACCAGTTGCTCAATAGTGAGACCAAACCCCAGCGGTAACAGTACCGTCTGCTCCAAATGCGTGTGTTTTTACTCTTTTAGCTGCTCGCGAGGAGCAGAATTCATTGGCCGGATCGCAAAGTACCTATTCGGTGGGCTGATCGAACACTATTCGGTCTGGTTAGAGACTGGGTATCGAAAGCATTCCACAACTTCATGACTGCGCACCCAGCCGGCACAGCCATGCCACTAATCTGGCTGGATTATTCACGGTCATGCGTGTGCCCGTGGGCAGTTGCTGGAAACTGCCGGAGCCATCTTAACCAAGCCGTACTAAACGGTTGTGCACCCAGATAACACCCACTCCGACGGATGGAGACCACCGATCAGCGGAATCACGCACCAGATGCTGCTGTGAGCTATCATCAATTAGCACCCTACATCTGAAAATGAGTGCAATCCTTGGCGCTTATGTTGCCTCTGTGAAGTATGCTCCTGGTGAGCATTTGTCGAAAACACGTTCGCATGTACCGACTGTAGTGGTGGGATGAGCTGGGCTGGACACTGCGTGTCTTTATCTAGCAGGTGGTCAAGGTACACTTATTGCTCGAAGTTAAGCCGGGGTATCTTATTAGGCTTGTAGCCCACCGTAGCTTTTACTGGTCCATTTATTCAAAGTAAAGGAGTCCGTCCAACTGAAAGATTTGCTCTGACTAGGCACACTCTTGTGTTAACTTATGTACTGGGACAATATCCTCCGAGTTTAACTCGCTATCATTGTTGACCATCTCCTTCGGATGTATATAATAACTCAATATTGTAGCGAAATATGTTCGCTGTGTGGAATTACAAATGCGACCTTATTGAAGCGTTCACCCGAAGATTAATTCTACTGGGTGACATCTTCCCTTTCTTTAGAGCTGGTTGCAAACTCGATCTGAGTTTGTCCGGAGTGTCGTTGAGCCACTGGTGAACAATCTGTTCCCTCCACTAATCACATGCATCGAAATGGATCCCGCAGTCAAAATACCGCATCCGGTGGTTTTTTATATCCGACAGTTTTGCGACCTCTTTTCCGGGTTGTCAGTGGATCAGACGGACAATGCAATTCGATTAACCAACCTGACGTTGTTCTGCCTGGCATGGTCATGCGGGGGCCTTCTGGACTCCGATGGGCGAAAAAAACTGGATCATCAGATACGCGAGCTTTGCGCCGATGCATGCTTGCCCACTTCAGATAACCAGACTTCCTTATTTGATTTTAAAGTATCTGAGCAAGGTCAGTGTCTCCACGATTTGAATCAGCTGTGTAATTCAAGTTTTGTTTTCAAAAATTACGGTTCAAGCTATTGAGGCCACCTTGTACATGCCTGCTCTTTAGCATTCGGTAAAGGACTTGCATCACCACTCCTTTGCCATCAACTCGTCGAAAATATCTGCTGAGTGCTACTACATTGATATTCTAAAGATGCTTGTGATCTGCCCGTTGTCATGCCCAGATGAGTGATTTTAATGAACATTTTACATATCTCTGTCTTAGAAATGGAGGATACTGCAACTGCGCACCAACGCTGACTGAACCTATGTGAGGTCCTCTTCTGGAATGTTGTGTGCCACATTGGGACGACAAAATAGTGGTCAAGCATGAATGGAAATGGAAAACACTTGAGGTTCCGTGTAATAATTTGGGAGGGAGATGCGCGTGTCAACGTGCACTGTTAAATCGTTCTTCCGTTTAAGCGTAACGTGGAACAGAAGTAAATAATTAGAGGATGTCGTTCCGTGGTTGGCACAATTCATGTAAGGAGAAACCCACAACTATTAAGCAAACCGTTCTGCATTACCAGCTTTGGCTGGCAAGGCTACTGAGTAGTGCCGATGGGTCCCATGTACCTTGCTGTTAGCACTATCCTTGTCCCCATTGGTCAGGCTGAGCACCGTGGACGGAGATTGCCGTATTGACAGCGAACTCACTGATGGCATGGTCAACGAGTGTGAGGATTTGCTTTGAATAATCCAAGCTCCCACAGCAAGCGACTAAAATAGCTTCCCCCCCCCCCCCGCATTTTCGGATAAGGTTGAACGCCAATTGAGTGTCCGGTGACTACCCACAGGTTGACAGTAGAACTAAGCCCTAGTCACCATTGATGTCAAGCACCAGGTTGAACTTGCGTTAAATCAGAGTGCATAGCCAAATGCATGGATGCACTATGGTCGCCACGTCATTCATACAAAGTAGTATCATCACCCTAGCAGCGATTCACGAGCTAAATGGATGCAAACTTGTTTGCATAACTGAAGAAATCCGCGTTGCGGCGGAATCGCCATAACCTAGCTAGGTCTTTATCATGACAAAGGTGTAGGGAAACAGCACGACCACACGAAGGAGTAGCTTCATGAGTCAGGTTTGTTTTCATAGGAATTCGATGAGGTCTGTGTAGCATAACACGTAACTACAAAAACCAACGGAAACACTGAAAGCGCTCGACTACAGAAGCCAATAGAGACGGATCAAATGAAGAACCAATCAGGTACACACAAGGAAGGAGCCAAAGCGTTAGCCTCCGAGTGGAACTGGCGGAACCTTTAAATCGCCCGTTGACTTTTCGCCGAACATCGTATTTTACATTATCTACCGTATATATCTCAGTTTTGCAAGATTAACCTGACAGATATTTTCTTCAGTCAACTTCCACGGTCACTGAGACCCTCTACTTCATCTACCTTTGAATATAAAAGCCAGATATCGCGCACAAGCCAATACCTACTGTCTTTGGACAAAATATTTTGCGTCAATTGAGGCGAATTCTGAAGAAAAAGTTTAATGAATGCTTTTCAGCTTTGAATGGATAGAAATCCCGAAGAGATGGTTCAGTTTGTTTTATCGTTACATGAGCGATCTATGACAGTGCACCCTTCGCATTTTTATTCCCATTTGTAAACTTAGCATTTTTAATGGTAACATTTTGGCAAATTTATAGTTGATAAGGTAAAATGCTGAAAATGCACCCATTTGTGTACATAAAGCTCATAATGACTTGAGTTGACTTGATTAATCAACGACCGCAAGCAGCCAAGGTGGCTATTAAACTGACACTGAGACAAACGTCGCTAACTGAATATAACAAGATGAAAGTCTACATTTATATAAGTTCACGTGAGCTTACCTAAATTGTTATCGCTCTTCTAACATATTGTACTCGACAGCTAGTGCTACTTGGAAAATTGTGCTTTTTCAACTTAAAGGCTATGCCTAGAGCCTTTTACGATACCCAGTATGCAACATCGCGTCCAGCGGAATCGACGGAACCTATTGAAGAGTGCAAGTAAATGTGCTTAGAGACAACAATGCCATCTGAGTGAAAGCTGGGAATAAGTTTCCCTAATACGGTGAATTACTCGATCGCTTAACAATGTAGGTGAAAAGAACCCTCACACACGGCGGTTCACTGAATCGAATTAGCTTCGCGGTCATCTGGTATCGCTCTGGGAACTCGATAAGCTTTTGATATCAACTCTCCACCGCTTTACAAATATTAACTTGATACTCGGGTAGACATCTGTGAGCATATGAAGGACAGATAGAGAAATCTACTGAAATATGGGCTTCTTGGCAAATGAATGGTGAATGGCGAAATAAAACCGGTACTACTGTGACAGTCTTGATGCGATGTCCCAGAGACTCTGATTGCTCATTGATCATGGTAACAACTGGATCTCAGCTAGATGGATTTTATTGTGCCGGTAATGAACCACCACAGGACATTACTTGTTGGCCACTTGCTAACCAATGCTTTAGAGTCAGTTCTATGACATTCAGTTAAAAGTGATCTGGAACGACAGCTGTGGCTTCCCAGTACACGTATATCGACCTTACGGCACATCAAAGTGGCTTTCTTAATTATTGGCCATTTCGAGAGTTCCTAGACAAACAGTCTCATGTTTAAAGTACCGTAGAGTTGTGCTGTTCGGTGCGGGACCACTTTCATTAACTGCTGCCTCTTCTTCATTATAAAGGTGGCTGGATTCCTTGGACTGAGTGCGTTGGACCTTATATTCACCAAGCTCCTCACAACCATTTATACAACACCATCGTCCCTAACGAAGACACCGTGGCCACGCAGTACCTACTCCAAGCCATTGGAAAACAAAACAAACCAGTCTTGTTGATGGGTGCGTGTGGAACCGGGAAGACAACCATTATCCGCAACTATCTGAATCAGTTTGATCCGGACCTTTATTCGAACACAACGTATAGCTTTTCGTCCTCGACTACTCCGGTAATGCTTCAGGTGAGTTGTGTAAGATACACGCAACTGTTTATGTCGAACCTGGTTTATATATGGTTGGCGGCATCTGGTTTCAGATTTGTCTGTCACTGTGGCCAGGCACAGGACGCCTGCGCCTACAGAGGGACCATGGGTAGCTTGCGTTGCACCACCCACTGCTCCATCCACATACCCCATATCCAGTGTAAACCCGAAGGAATAGCACTTGGAGGCATGTGGATCGAAGCCACGTTTCATCAACCGAGTCGGCCCACACTCCTTCACAGACAAACACAAGCACGCTGTATTTGGGAATCAAGCGCACACAATGCGGGGGCTGGACCGTAGTCCGCTCCGCACTGAGTGCATGGAACCACACTTCGAGCCTAGCACGGGCACAAGGACCGTGCACCCCGTCCCCTCCAGCAACGACCAACTGTCTCCTGGACCCATTATGGACGAGGTAGTGGGTAATAGACAGGTAGGCACCTTGTTAACATGCACATCAAGCGCAGCCACACTGGGGATATCAAGCAATAGCCAATCACTTGAGAGAAAGATAACAAAGAACAGAAATCGAGTAATGCATAAGGAAACGTGACAAAAATCTTAAATTAGTGAGCATATGAAATAAATTGTTAACAAAGGATCCGAGATAAGTTCAGGGGGTCAGAAAGTATATTTTACGGAAATGACACAAACGTGAAAATGTTATCGAAATTAACTGCGATTGGCTCAAGCGAGTTGTGCAGGTTTATAGAAGAGCGTACAGGTGGACATTTATTTGAGAAAGAAAAGCATTAGGACAAAATTGAAAATCCACCAATTGCAATAAAGAGACTTAGGATGCAAGCAAGTAGTTAATAAATCGAATGCAGCGTACCTACAAATGCTGCGCCGGTTCTGCCTACGTTCTGTGCAGGACCCATCGTCGCTTCGGTAGTGGTCCAGAGTGGCCTCTCTCATGGCTCACTAAGCCTGCCTGACTCAGGTACTCGCGACCGCATGTGCTACAGCACCATGCGTTTGACGTCGATGGAGAACAACCCATCGGTGCTTGCCGCTTCCGCACTTGCCGCTTCTTCTCTGCATGCATGAGGGTTTTCTCCTGCACCTCAGCAACTGCCTTTGTGATCAGATCGCGCCATGCACGCCGATCAACCGCCTTCGATTCCCATGATCTGCAATCAAGATTAGAACGTGTGAGGCTCACTTTAATCATGTCCTGGTATCGTAACTTTGGTTTCCCCACGTGCCGCTTCCCAATACTCAGCTGACCATATAATAGCTGCTTCGGTATCCGCGTCGAATCCATACGGCTCACATGACCGATTCACCTCAGGTGTCTCAATAAAAGTATGCAGTCCACTGCATACATCCCACTTCGGCGCAAAACTTCCGTGTCTGCAACATCCACACAAGCAAGACTGTTGTCGTTTCCAGCCTTCACGCGGAATGGACTCCGTAGGCATGACCCAAATCCAGGTTGCCGACGCAGTGTTTTAAACCACTCCGAGATTTTGCTATCTTGGGAACGTAATATCAACCGTCCTGCAGATGACGAGCGAGCTGCGCAGCCGCTGCTTCATTTGGCAAGCTAGAATGTCGTGGGTGTGGAACAGCCACCAGCTCACTGTCTGGACGAAGCTGCTGGTGTACAAGTCTATGGTGCTGTCCGTTCTTCTATACGGCAGCGAAACCGAGACGATTTGTTGGAAGGATGTTCGTTATCTGGGGCGTTTCCGTCAACAGGATCTGCGTCGTGTTATGCGCATCAACTGGAGTGACCGTGTTGTAGACACTGAGGTGCTCCGGCCCAGTGGCATGTATGCAGTGGACTGCCTACTTCTACTGAGACACCTTAAGTTCCTCGGGCAGACTCGCTGCTTGGATTCGACCCGGATACCGAAACAACTGCTTTATGGTCAACTGCTTGCAGGGCAGCGGCACATGGGGAAACCGAAGTTACGTTACCAGGGCATGATCGAGGCAAGCCTATCAAGTTCTAAGGTATATTTCAGATGTTGATAATCGGAGGCGGTTGCTCGGCGTGCTTGGCGCGATCTAATCACAAAGGCAGTTGCCGAGGTACAAGAAGAAACCCTTATACATTCGGAGAAAAAGCGGCAGTTGCGGAAGCAGCAGACGCCGATGGTGTGTATTCCATCGACCTCAAGCGCATAGTGCTGTAGCAAGTGCGGTCGGGAGTGCCTGAGTCAGTCAGGTCTATTGAGCCCTTAGCGAGGCCACTCGGGACCAGTATCTAAACAACGACGGGTTGCGCTGAGAACATATGCAGAACCGGCGCAGTGTTGGTAGGTACGCTGCATGCGCTTCCATTAGATTTACTAACCGCGTGCTTGCATGCTGAGTTTTCATTTCAGGTGGTTGGTTTGATATCTCACCTTAATGCTTTTTTACCTCATTATAATGCCTACCTGAATAATGTGCCATTTGTTTCCGCACGTCGCCTAAGCTAATAGTGGTTAACTTCCTTAACCATTTTGCGTTTTGTGGCACTTTTAAATGTCTTTCTGCCATTTTGTGATTATCGCGGATGTATTAATAACCAATTCACTTCACATGTTCGTTTCGCGAAGAGTTATGACGGCATATCCATATGTCTTATTCAATATATGTTATTTGATATTGTCATTTCAAGTGATTGATTATTGATTGACTTTCCCGGTGTGGCTGCGCTTGATGTGCATGTTAACAAGGTGCCTACCTGTCTATTACCCACTACCTCTTCCATACTGGCTCCAGGAGACATTTGGTCGTTGCTGGAGGGGACGGGATGCACGGTTCTTGTGGCCATGTTAGGCTCGAAGAGTGGTTCCATGCACTCAGTGTGGAGCGGACTACGGTCCAGCCACCGCATTGTGTGTGCCTGAATCCCCAAATAGATCGTGCTTGTGTTTGCCTGTGAAGGAGTGTGGGCCGGCTCCGTTGATGAAACGTGGCTCCCATCCATATGCCTCCCGGTCCTATTCCTTAGGGTTTACACTGAAGATGGGGTGTGTGGATGAAGCTGTGGGTGGTGCAACGCAAGCCATCCATGTTCCCTCTGTAGGCGCCGGCGTCTTTTGGCTGTCCCAATGATGCCATAGTGATAGGCAAATCCGGAACCGGATGCTGCCAACCATATATATGATACCACAATTCGCAATGTCACATAAAGTCCTGATCGAACCTACAAAGGGAGTGCCAATGCACATGCAGGAGAACTCCGCGACAATCTACTACGGACTATGCATCCTAACCCTATTCGATGGCGATCACAGGCTAGATGGTTCGGTGGACCTACTTGTGTAAATGGTTTACACGAGTTGCTAATAGAACTTCAGCAGCAGGAAACTATCCCGATACGATGGAGCCGCTCCGTCGTAGTCCAAATTTTCAAGGGTGACTGCCGTTCGGGATGCGGCAATCATAGCGGGATCAGTCTGATCACAATTGCCTCTAAATGACTTGCGTCTGTCGTTCACCACAGGCTGGCTGGTGTTCGTGAAGGCCAGATCCACGAAGAGCAAGCCGGGTTTCGTCGGAGTCGGGGCTGCATCGAACACATCTTCACCTTGCGTCAATTGTTGGAGCACCGTCATATGTATAGGCGACGCACCGTAGTCGTGTTTCGCGACATCAACGATGCATTCCATTCAGTTGATCGATTTGCCATTTGGAACTGTCTGCTGAGAAAAGGTGTGCCCGATAAATACGTAAACATTATCAAGGCGCTGACGTACATAGTTCGTGAAAAGTGAGGGTTTATGGCAAACTGTCGCCACCATTCAAAATCTCCAGCAGTGTAAGAAAAGGTTGCCTACTGTCAAGTTTTCTTTTTAATTTCCTTATTAATGAAGTCATGCAAACAGCGCTCGCCGAACACGACCTAGAGGGTGTGGAGCTGCTTCCTAGTGAGCGACTTTTTGTCTTGGACTACGCGGAAGATATTGTGCTCATCTGTGACAGCTTCAGACGTGCTAAGTAGCACTAGACCGATTAGCACCAGCTGTCAATCGTTTTGGGCTATGTTTTGCTCCATCTAAATTCAAAATACCTCCAAGATTGGCAGGAACCCACCCCTGTGCTGACCCTTGGTGGTGATCAGCTAGAAGTGGTTCAGGAATACAAGTATCTGGGCAACTATATTACCGCCCCTGGGATCGAACATAAGATTACGAACCGTATAGCAAAAGCTCCAGGCGCTTTTGCCAATCTCCGCCACCTGTGGCGCAGAAGCGACGTCACTCTCTCCCTGTATAATGCAGCCGTCCGTTCAACCCTCTTATACGACTGTGAAGGCCCATTAGATCATCCAACATAAAGAAGCTAGTCACGTTCGACCATCGCTGCCTTCGCAGCTTAGCTCATATCTAGTGGGAACACCGCGTGAGCGTTGAGTGTGTTCGGCCTCGCGTATTTGCGCAGGAAGAGCTGCTGAACCGCTCAGCACTATTATAAAACGCACCAGGCTCCGATGATCATGTGTTGCGCACGCCAGCACACCGACTTCCGCGATGTGCTTTGTTTGAGAGTCGGGGGTGCGGTTGAAAGATGAGGAGGGGAGACCATGCGATGACTTGGTCGAGAGAAACGAAAACCCTCACTTCGAAGTTGGCGTCGTTTGGCGCATCCCGACTGCCTGGCTTTGGTCCTAAAGAGGATGAACACGTTTGCTTGGGCACACTAGCTGATATGGTGGAGAGTTTACCCCAATGGCGTTTGTCCTGTGGGTTTCTTCGTCCATTCCCACCAGCTTAGCCTCCGCTCCAACTCCGATCTCAATTATTAGGGATAATACGACTACTTTGCGGCACAATATCCAGCTGTTATCTCTCCGGAACGATGTTCATCCGTTACTTGTGACTCAGTCGGCGTGCCTGTTCCATATTCTTCTTTTCTTTTGTATTGCGGCACAATAGCTGGTATTTTCCACCTGCAGCTAAAGTGTATAATGAATGAATGAGTGAATGAACGAATGACTGGCTCATGGTTCTTGATCTGGGGCACTCAACTTCAGGTACCTATGTAGTTAGCGTCTCAACCTTTCGGGATCGAACCTTGCGTTAGCCCCCTTGCTGTTTCTTCAGGCTAAGGCCAAAGCACAAAAGTGGGCGCTGCTAATTAACCACTTGGCCGCCATGTGGAACACATGTTCAGGCCATCGAAATGAAAGCATGCATTTCAGTGGTCTGTCGAACCTACCTGATGATTGCTAACGTGAAAATGACATTATGATCGATGCGGCCGGAATTGGACGAAACCCAACGTGCATCTCTCATGTGCGCAGCTAGAGTTCCCAGCTGCACCCACAGCAAAAACAGGTCAGTGAGCACTTTTGATGAGACGCTTGATCAGAAGTCCCATACTTGTTTCAGACTGGTCTACTTTCCTCTATGCTGCCCCACCAGCAGTGGGTGATGGTGGTGGAGCTGCGTCCACCATGCGTCGGGTGTTTGTGTAGCCCATTGGCGCCAAGAAAGCTGTAACTTAGTTGGCAACCGAAATAAGGTGTGCGAGAGCGATCACGGTACTCTGGATACCATGTCTTGTTTGGCCACCGAGCCCACGCCCCTCACCTGTAAGGAAGTCGAGGTCACTTGCGCGCTCACAACGCCAAGGCCATCTGCGCAGGCTGGCTAACGCGGCCATCCACATGCAAACACACATGCACGCGCTCGCTCGCACGCGCTCGCTCGCACGCGCGTACGTACACGGTAACCACCTTTTGGTTCAGCGCTCACTTCTGGAGGGGGGGGGGGTGTAAACCCAGCGGTTGCTTACACCGTGTCCAAGGGGACAGGAAGATCAGTAGAATCCCACAGTCGTCCCATCGTGAATCCATCATTAGTCAATTCCACGGTGTGATTAGGCATTTATGGGGCCAAATCAGCACGCACAGATCATGTTTTGGTCAACCCACCAAAGCACACGTGACTGCATTAGCGGTCCCCTCTGTGCTGGCGACGTGCAATAAGAGTTGATTTGTGAGATTAAGTGTCGTTTGAAGCTACGGACGTAATTCGAAAGGAATTTAGCAACCAGGAAACCATGAAGAAACGAACCGGAGCAAACTCAAAAAAGAAACTAGGAAACAAATGGAATGGTCCGGAGTCGCAGGTTGAGGACGTCCAAAAAATGTTTAGACTGTCAACATAGGCGACAGTACAACGTCCTCGGGTAGCGCGCTCCCAGAGTTTACTTGACAAACGTGTGTTCACTCGAACCGTATCAAATGGGAGTTTATGCAACTTCATCGAATGTCAACGAAGAGTTGGTAACTGAGCGGAATGGAAGAGATGTGGAATGATCCGTCCCCTCAAGATGTGATAAGTGAGAACCAACTCGCCATGAAGACAGCTATAGTGTAACGAGGACTACCCAATTTGAGCAACCTGTCAGGACACGGCAGGTGTTTACATAACCCACCCCGCATCTTATTAGCCAAACTCGAAATGTTATTTTTATGCTTGGGAGTACGAAGCAGTGATTGAGTCCGAGGTACAGTCCATGGGAGAATATACCACATGCAATACGTATTAGCTCTTGACCGGACGATCGGTTGGGTTTAAAAAAGCAATGCTGCCTCCGCGCATGCGCTTAACACGCCTGACATGGACCACCAAACAACCAGCCGCGTCTCCGGATAAGCGCAATCTGACTGTTCCATGGGAGCACCGTTCGTTTTGGGTGGTCGGAGGCCATAAATCCAGTCACCCTGGCCTTGACACCGCATAGTGCAGGCTCTCTACCAGTTACCGGTTGTTATACCTGGTTACCTGGTTGTTATAATGCTGCCCTCACCTCTGCCCCCTGCGCTCCAACGCAGCCGGGGACGAAAACAGAACCCAGAAGCCTGCTAAACCGAAGTATCTTAGGCACCAAACATGGTTAATTTTACAGATCACATGCTCTTACCTCGCCTGTCTGTCACCGAGGTGAATCGCATCTCTTGTCTGAGCAGATTCGACCCGGTTAGCGGCCTTCACTGTCTGACTGCAGGTAGGATCACGTCCACATCATAGCAACCCGTGCAGAGATGACGGTCTAAATTCGTTAGCTTCCGGTTTGATCATGACAACGAGTCTCAGCCGATCAAGTGGTCTGGCTAATCTCTCGTCATCTGTTTCGCCTCCGTGACACTAGTGCTCAGCTGCAGAACTTCAATCCCCTGAGCCGTTACCGCTGATTGTCCATCATTATTTAAGCGTCTTACGTAGGAAATAACTGAGAGCTAGTCATGGTTACTGTGATAGATAATGCATAATCGATCTGCAATTAAGGATGCGCACGGCACCGTACGACTCCTCTGCGGCAGAGAGGCCCATAATAGTAATTAATACTGTAGACCAAGAGAAACTTGGGATGGTGTATGCCGTTTTCCTGGATGGGATCCCCAGGCACTTTAGCCACCCTCAGCTTGTTAACCCTGAATGTACTGGAAATATCCAGTCTCGCAGAGGACGAACTTAAACAGTAGATCATGTAGTGACACCAGCAAAAGTGTTTCCACTAAAGAGTCTATCAGATGAGTGGGGGAGTTATTCATGACAGCATTCATGACCGTTGCTGTCATCTGGTTTCCTGTGATCCACTTTTGCGTGCATATCTTAGTAGTCTGACGAGCGAATAATGGTACGACGATTCCACAACGGGGTTGCTTTTCTCCAGGCAGCTATCTGTTCACTCAACTGTTTGCTCGTAATTTTGTTGGCTAAACCAGTGCTGAAAAGCCGGAGGGGAAGAAGATACTTACCTGGGCTGCCTCTGGTTTACGCTCCGTATGGATACCGACTCTGTGTGTTTCCAATATGATTTGTCTCCACACATCGAAAGCAGAACACTCTGGTGCTAGAACTAGTCACTGTGCTCTGTTACTTTATCATACCGTCATCACGGCTGAACTCATGCGTCAAGACGGGTCGTTCTGCAGAAACTTGGCCCTTGAGCCTTTTTTAGTAGGCAGGTTGTTGTCCACTTTTTGATGGGACTGTAAATAGCGTAATAGGCGTCGGCTCATTCGTACTGTGAGTTGAGGCAAGAGGAGTGAATTCGTGACAGTGAGCTCAGTTGTAAAAACATACGAAACAAGTTTTTGTAACACCTGGTGTTGTACACGTCAGGTTGTGCTCTACTCTCGCCTGTGGAGCATTGAATGGACCAAGCTTCCGATGTCACATTTTGAAATCAAACCAGTCTAGAGATCTGCATTTGGAATCCCAGGTTAACTAACGTTGCTCAGCTATGTCATAAACATGTTGTAGAATCGTAGAAGTAAGTGTATCTATGAAGTTGAAAACGCTCTCACTCTGTCGGTAAAATACTGATAACCTGATAGGATAGGCCATCGGTGAATAGTAGGAGCCATCGCATTCTTTTGAACATGCGTTTTGAAGTTTCTTTCATTCTGCGTAAGATTACCATCGCGTCGAGTTTTGTTAGGTCCCACCCAGTCATAAACGCGTAGTCTATGGCTGCATTGGATTACGAGTGGTAAATTCTCTCGGTAATATATGGTCATGCGGAAGTGGGAGGTCTCAGCTGTTTCTGCCTAAGACCGAGATGCTGTCTATGTGCCGTACATGCAGTATGCTGGTGATGACCACGAACTGCTAAAATATGGGGGATAAAATAAAGTGGGACCTGCTTTACTATTTGCCATAGTGACTCCTATTGAGCTCGTTACGCCCCCAGGTTGATTCTTGAGACACACTTCATAGAGGTTAGCTTTGGTGTTGTAATTGTACGCCGCATAATTCAGGATTAATTCAGCCACGCTTCCCCTCTCGTTTGGCTGCAGCAAGCACTTGAAACAGTCATCGAACGCCGTGTTGGAAGCACATACGGCCCAGCAGGAGGAAAGCGCTTGACTTTATTTATTGATGACATCAACATGCCATCGGTCAACGAATATAGCTACCAAGCGCCCAACGAGTTGGTGCGACAATTGATCGAGATGAAGGGAGTGTACAGTTTGGACAAGGCTGGGGAATTTCTCTCCATCATGGACGTCCAGGTGAGTCTAATTCGCTTCCTTACAATTGGATGCACATAGTATTTACTACTCAAGCCAGATGCGATAGAGGCAAGGAAATCCGAATGAATAAAATGTTTACAGTCTGCCCAGTGACTGAACTTACATGACTGCTGAAACCTATGCTCTGTTGGTTGGGGGAGTCACAAAAATTAACCAGTGCATACGTTGGTACCAAACGTACCATCGACTGACCGGCATGGTTGACAGCATCCGGTTCCGGATTTGCCTATCACTACAGCCTCCATCCGAACAGTCACAGGACGTCTGCGCCTACAGAGGGATAACGTGTGGCTTGCGCCACAACACCTAGAGCTTCATCCGCATACTCCATATGCAGTGTAAACCCGAAGGAATAAGACCGGCCACGTTTCAACAACGGAGCCGTCTCGCAATCCTTCAATACGCACAGCAGCAACGTTCCTGTCTGTCTATGTAAGGCATCATGCATACCAAACGTACACAAGGCGGTGGCTGGGCCGTAGTCCGTTCCACACTGGATTGAACCACTCTTTAAACCTACCATGGCCACGAGGACCATGCACCCCGTGCCCCCCCCCCCCAAGCAACGATTCAGTCTTCTGGAGTAATGGAGGTAGATGGTGTTAGACAGGTAGGCACTTTGTCAAGGCACACATCAAGCACAGCCGCACCGGAAATATCAAACAGTCAACATAGAATTTAAGGGAAAACAAGCAAGCAAAATTGACAGAGAATATGCGGCAGAATAACAGAATTGAGAAACCAAATAAAGTGGAATGACTTTATCCAGATTACAAAGGGCTAGTTTAAGTGTAATTTGCTTTAGCCCAACTGAGGTGAAGGAGCATCATGCATGCAGCATCAGCGTCAGCAAAAGGCGGACTGACCAGCATAAACACGTGTACAGTATCAAGAACCCTAAGCTACAGTCCAATGGATGTAGACTTTCGAACAGACGACAGTTTGACGATTTTGCATGTAACTTATGATAAATCTACAGGAAAGTGACATGGACTGGTCAGCACAAAACCTTTAACAGTGTGCGGCTGATTCTACAAAAGCAAGCTTTGTCTTGTGGCTTGTCCGGAGAGAAAAAATGCGTCAACAGTACGCCAGTACGCAGTACTGATGCTTCGCTGTCGCGCAACCACTACCATTCGCACGTAGGCTAAGGATACTGCGACGGTCGCCCGGTCCCTACGCAGGATCTAACCCGCGCCTTCGGATTACAAAGCAGTCTTGTGTTCCTTAAGGCTGCGGGCTGTTCGAAGAGCAGCGAAAATTTAAACGAAAAATACGATTATGTATTTATTTGATAATAAAGAGTATCGTGAACAGTTTCTTGAGATATACACGCAGACTAACTAAATCCTGTACTGCTAAAAGAACTCATAGTGGGGGGAAAATTTATGCGCCTCTCTCTACTTTTAAAACTAAACAATACAGCTGCTTATACCGGTAAAAGGTTAAGAGGTTAACTAAATTCACCACGGATCGCTACGGATTTCTATTACTTCCACACGTGTTACCTATCGAGTTGTGTGCACCGGTCTACTTGATTTCAAGGAAGGTTGCATTTGGCATGTTGCAATGCTTCGACTGCGGCATTAATTCATGCGGTCCGCTCTGCCTGAGTCCCAATCCAACCGTGAAACCAAAAACCAAGACTAACTTGACGGTGTGTATCTAGGACAAGAGCAGTTCTGTTTGTAGGTCAACCTTGAATTCCAAGTATGTAAACCGTGATCTCCAACATCTTCGGCGTCTTGGCCTCAACCAATGTGAACGCAGTCCACTTGATTGGTTTACGCTATTTGGTTGTTTGTTCTCGCCAAGGCACGGCCCTCTCCCAGTCTACACTCACTCGAGTTCGCCACTCGTATAGTACATGCGTTCCATACTTGGTGCGGCGTGAAGCCCGTTCAAGCTGTCTGCACGGCCTAGTCTCGTAACGCGGTGCGGCGGTATTCCCTAGCTTAGGCACCTAATTTGCCTCACCAACAGAAGTTATTCTAAAAATATCTGAGAACTTCACCAACTGTGGTATGAAGGTGGAATGATCAAAACTTCGACCCTAATCGCTTACTGTGTGAAAAAGTATTTTGTTAAATCGACGGATTTCGCTCCATTTACCGTGTGAGGATGTGCTATCCATAGTGCTCGAATACCTCGTTCCTGTAGCGACAGTGCTTATCGGGTTTCCCCTTAACAACCGTCCGCTATGTGTTCCATAAACACTTTTTGTGGACTTTGCACCTGCTCTGGCCATTCGCCACCAGTGCCGTCTCTGTTGCGACACCGACCACATGGACAGACCAACCAACTGATACTATATGTATGCTGACCATCTGGCTGGATACCTGCTGCATATTGGTTTAGGTGGATAAATAAAACTGCTTTATGTTCATTGTGCTACCGAATCACTAATGGCTAGCTTCTTTTCTACACCAGCGTTTCGTGATCGGCAGGGGAACTAGTTACCACTTGTAGTTACAATTTGATACTGTTACCAGAAAATAACCCCCTAAGAAAATGTTCTGCCGAAAGCGAATTATTAGGCGCACACTTAGTCCAGGTTATTCAACTTGTTGTGACGGTCATTCGGACCGATGGAGAGTCACAGCACCCAGCAGGGCGACGTTCGTCACTACCGACCAACCAGCACAACGATTAAAGTATTGGGTTACCTGTATGTTTGAACAAAAGTTAGAAGACAAGAAATGCGAGATGGCACCATTTCATGTTATCTGAACACTTGTAAACTAATAACATAGGTAGACCACGTGAGAGAAGGGAACGAGGTTTTAAATTGGTCAGATAAAAAAGGCAAGCAGACATAAAACAACAGATGGTTTAGCTGGGACAAAGGTCATGAACTCGAAGGAAATTTAAGGGCTACTATTAGTTGCTTTTGTACGCCAAGTGTAGGACGGCATCCTAGCTTTTTAGTTTCGGTAGGCGACCGTAAATCTTGGGTCAAGGTCAACGTGATGACCTGTTTTGATTAGGTGTCTAACCTTAGATGACATCGGCAGTTTGCCTGTTTCTCCCTGTCCTGTTAGTTGTTACGTCATCAGCCTAGTAATCCGCTCCCGAATATGCTGTCCAAACCGCTACCCCATACAACCATCTGTTCCACTATTGTGACTGCTTTTGCAGGTACCAGCGAATTGATACTTGCAGTGAGTTATGGTATAGATCGGTTGAATAGGTTTGGTTGGAGGCATCGGCAGCTTTCTGATTGTCTAGATGGGACAGATTTTGGTAGCATTAAATAGCTGTGTTTACCCGTCGTTCAATTTGCGCCGGTACCACATTGTAAATAAACGGGCATTTTTTGCACAGTAAGTACTCTTGGTTTGCTTTCCTTCGGGTGAATGTGAAATCTGATGAATGCCTCTGGATATCCATTGGCCCGTAATGTCTGTGATGAACGATAATTCCTACTCTACAAACTCAGCACTGTATACTCTACGGGCTTGATCGAACAACATCTCGACAAGGCAACGTTTGTATTGGACGGGCGCAAATCTGTTGAACTTCACCAACAGGCCAGTCAATGTGATTTTCCTGTAAACAGAGCGGTTTATCAAGGCTTCGTCTCCTTTTGTCAATGATACATCAAGAAAAGCAAGGCAATATTGTCTCTTTCTAGCTCACATGTGAAACGAGTGTGTGTTGTTGAGCACACTGTGAAGAGACAAAGCAGTCTTTACACTTTGGGAAATCACTAAGGTGTCATATACATACTGCCAGTATAGGCAAACCTGGTTTAGTTAGGGTTCACCTCGATTCGACCACGCTTGTCAGCTGCTTTTATGTTTCCATTGAGGGTTATAAGGGATTCAAATGTCCTACAGTTATCTGAGTGCCACGTACATGTGAACGGCCTCCGGGCGCGTTTGTCGAGGTCCAATTAAATAGTTCAATTAAATAGTTCAGTATTTCAATAGTGTATGATGGGATAAAAAGGACAACTTTACAAGACCCACAGGATGGATACGCAAAAGAAAATTAAAAGCAAAATGTTCCAAAGTGGGACTGAAGTGTCAGTGGTTAAACCATTGCACTTTATCAACTCGTTTTGTAGCATTTAGCATGAAGATGAAAGTCTAATGTCTTTCGAATGTCGTCATGTCTGGTGCATACACCACATATTTTGGTAATGCATTCCAGGGAGAACAGATTCTAAACGAGTAAAAATACTTTCATCTCACCAGGTGGAGACAACAGGATTTGAACCCACGACCATTGGAACAGCAGCTAACACTACTACCCCTTTGGCTACTGGGTCACGATGGGCAACACATTTTGTCACAACGGTAGATGACTAATTGGAGGGTCAAGTTTGGATTACACGTTGTGTGATTGGATTGCGACACGCAGCCTCCAGCTGATGAGATGAAATTACATCGAAACGCGTCGTGGCTGTGCAGTGTTTTCGGGTGGGCAATACCCAATTTCCATCTACTTTGAATACGGTCCCAACGGTCGCAGTGACTAAGGTTCATTTCAATGTGAATCACAGTCCATTACATTGAGGTTGCGTGTCGCAATCCAATCACACAACGTGTAATCCAAACTTGACCCTCCAATGAGTAAACATACTTTTTACAGTTCAGATGGGAGTATTGCGTTATTAATTTCAGGTGTTTGCCACGGATTTCTTTGTAAGGGGCCAGAGTCAACAGTGATGTACATAGATGCTCGCTTTCAGTTAGTGTCCGGTATGTAAGAGTAAGATCTCCGCGAAACAGTAGGTATTCTGATGAGAACACACCGAGTACAGGAAGACAGTCCGTAACTTAGACCGGATAGTCCACGCGTTACCTTTGTGACTCTTCTTTAGGATTAAATTAATAAATAAATAAATGGTATATTCCTCGGTGATTCGAGGTGCAGTCCAACTATGTGGTCTGATCAATGTGTAAAACAGGATCGCAAAAAAGTAATCAGTTTGTTCACGCGTTTTACAATGGATCCAAAACAGGTACTAAACT